GAACTCTTTACCTCCCCCGATACCTCCCTTGCCCACCATGTCAACTCTACCACCGATGCCCCCCATGCCAGTACCACCACCAGTTGCCACATTGCCACCGGTACCAGCTGTTAATCCGCTAACATCAGTTCCTCCGGTCCCTCCCATTGCACACATGCCGCACATGCCGCACATGCCACACATGCCTGCACTTCCTCCGTTCAACCCTGGTGTCCCTCCCCCAGTTGGCCCTGTCGCTGGTGGTTTAGCCTCTGGTCCACTGTCTCTCGGAAATCCCAATCCAATGTTCCTAAATCCCCTAAACCCTCTAAACCCCTTGAACCTCCAACCTCACATGAAATCGCCAGTGACAAACCCAGATGAGTTTTACGTTCATCTACATGGCCTTCCTTTTTCAGTCACTGAAATTGAAGTTAGAGATTTTTTCCAGGGACTTGGGATAGAGTCAGTTCGTTTGCTGAAAGACAACCTGGGTAGAAACAATGGCAGGGCATTGGTTAAGTTCTTCTCACCCCAAGAATCTTTTGAGGCTCTGAAAAGAAATGCAGGAATGATAGGCCAAAGATACGTTGAGGTTTCTCCAGCTACAGAGCGGCAGTGGAGAGAGAGCTCGGGACAGTCTAAAGCTGGTGGTGATGCCGAACACAGCCGTCATCGTCGCAGAGGCGCCAATTCGCCACCACCCTGTGGCCGTGAGCGAGCCAGATCCCGATCTCCCCACAAACTAGAATTCTGTGTCTATTTGAAAGGACTCCCATATGAAGCAGAAAACAAGCAGATCTTTGAGTTTTTCAAAAATCTTAACATTGTTGAAGATAGCATTTACATTGCGTATGGATCCAATGGCAGGGCAACCGGTGAGGGATTTGTGGAGTTTAGGAATGAAACAGACTACAAAGCTGCTCTCGGATGCCATATGCAGTACATGGGTAGTCGGTTCATACAGGTGCATCCAATCACAAAGAAAAACATGTATGAAAAGATAGACGCCATTCGCAAACGGATGCAGGGTTCCCAAGGCGATCAGAAGAATAGCTCGGGTGAAGGAGGAAAGAGTGCCAAGAATTGTGCTCACATAACCAATATTCCCTATAACGTGTCAAAAAAAGATGTCCGTCTGTTTCTTGATGGCATTCAGTTGTTTGAGGAAAGCCTCAAGGTGTTAGTTGACGCAAATGGTAACGGTCTTGGCCAGGCTATTGTGCAGTTTAAGTCCGATGAGGATGCACTTAAAGCAGAGAGACTACATAGGCAGAAATTGAACGGCAGGGATGCTTTCGTTCATTTAGTAACATTCGAGCAGATGAAAGAAGTTGAGAGAAATCCTCCTCCCCAGGCAAAAAGAGGCCAGAAATCTCAAGGAAATTCTCATGCTCATGCCTATGCACACTCTCAGCCCCAGGCCCAAGTTCCCCAAGCACCTCATGCTTTTCCAGGAATGACAGGGGATGAGTTTAGTTTTCTGAGAAATGCTGTAGGGACCCTTGGCAACGGTCCCCCTTTTATCAACCCATTTATTGCCCCAGGTAACGGACTGGCAGCTCCTCCGCCTTTGCCGCCACTTGGTGCTTCTTTGGGTGATGTCTCGTTTAGCATTCCCCCGCCAATGGTTGGAGGACCTTTGCCCGGTCCTGTTCTAGAGCATCCTAGTTTCAGACCCGATGGCAACAGTGTACCTGCCGGCTTTGTTAGTGTGCTAGAGCCCTTAAGGGGCATCCCACCGTTTGATAATGGATCTTCTCTTAAAGCAGTCAGCCAAAATCGTGGCCAAGGTCAGCGGCCAGCTTCTGAGAGTTTAAGAGGACCATCCAGCAGTGGTCCAGGTAATTCGCGGCCCACCATTGTCAAAATTCAAAACATGCCCTTTACTGTGACCGTTGATGAGATTATTGATTTCTTCTACGGCTATCAAGTGTTGCCTGGTTCAGTATGCTTGCAATTCAGTGAGAAGGGTTTGCCCACTGGGGAAGCGATGGTTGCTTTTGCCTCCCATGATGAAGCAATTGCTGCTGTTATGGACCTGAATGATAGGCCCATTGGGGCAAGAAAAGTTAAGATCACTTTGGGGTGAAAGCAACATCTTAGTATTTGCAAAGTGTCTTATTTTTTGACACGGTTTTCTGGAAAATGTCCTTATCCGGTTGTTTTATGTACAGAAGAAAAAAATGACAAGTATTAGATTCTCTTTTTTTCCTGGACATATTATTTATCCAAGGTTGTAGTAGTTACATGAAGCATGTAATAATTGAGGAAAGACCATGTTTTTTAAATTCCTCTAAACAGCATTGTTTATAGTGGTATGTTCAAAAGAGCCTAATATCTGCGATAGAGGTTAGCTGGCAAGTACGTTTCACTCTCAGAATTCCTCAGTTTTTGTATCTCTGCTCAAGTTTTACACATCTGTATATGATCCATGCTGCATCTACACATTTCTTTCTGAGGTAAAAACCGTGCTGCCATGCATTGTGTGCTAAATTCAAGCCTACATTTCAGTTACAATGTTTGCTCTCTGCTGCAAGCTTTTCTATGTCAATAAAATGCAAATGTTCATGTCTTTTTCATTATCTGTTGCTGTCACATTGGATTGCTTTAAAAAGCCTGATGTCAAACCAATTCTGTAAATGCTAAGCGGGATGTGAAGCAAATGCAGAATTGTAATATGTATATGAAAGCATTTTATTCTCTATGCTTAGCTTCTGTTCTCTTGTTGCTGTGGTGTTTGATGATAGTTTCCTTTTTTCTTTTTCTTTTTTTTGGATGTTTGGCTATTTTTTCAGTGTTGCTGAAATGGATCAGTTGTTATGCTTCGTTTTCGACGTTCCAGCGCTTTTTCTCTTGTAAATACTTTCCAGCTGAACTATTTTGTCAATAAAATGCCTTACTTGAAATGATGACACTTAAAGTTATTGTGTTCTCTCCTGTCCTTCTGTTTTTTTCCAGTTCAGATATGAACAATAAAATCTTTTGCTGTGACTTGTTTCCAATATTAAACCATTTATATTTTAAATATTTTTTCATCAGATGTGTTATTGTAGATTGGACTTTAGCTCTAATCTATTGCTTGTTGCTTTAGACTGTCTTTATATTGTAGTCTTGACCTTTTCTCACAATGCATTATTTAAAATTTGTTTTTTTTTATACCTGAGATGAGAAGGCACTCTTTGAATGTTTCATATTTTCTGCTACAACAGATAAGCATCTCTGATAAAAGCATCATACTGTTGAATGAGTTTTGTTTGTTTAGAGTGGAAAAGTTTTTGTTCAGTTGAGTCAGGAAGCTACATTTTGTAATTATTTTAGTATAGATTCTATTGAACTGTATATCAGATTTAGTCATATGCCTAAAGCTTAGTATATGGATCAAAAACCCATGAAATTCTGCCCTTGTTGTGCCACAGATGGCTTTTTAAAAATGCCCTGTCCATATGTAAAATTAAAGAGGAACACGTTTTTGAAATTTGTTCTGATGTTATACAAGGGAATGAACAATTCTCATGCAAACTGCACTGAGAGGTGCTTGAAATGTTTCATTGTTATGGCCGTGGATTATGATGGCAAATGTTATGCTGCATAAAATTAACTTTTCTAAAGATTTTTAATTTAATCACATGGTTGTCATTTCTCTCTTCCAACCTGTTTTTTTTTTTTTTAAGAATTCTACACATTCTCGATGCCTTTCTATCAAAGCAGGTCAAGTGGGATTGCTCTCAAATGCTGTTCTTTGATGCTTTGAATCTGCTTGTGATGGTCCTGTTCAGAAGATCAAAAGTTCAGGGTTATTTATGCAAGTTCTTTCTATTTGGGTTGATCTTAAATACTTTTGTTGTGAAATGCTTTAGAATTAAATTCAAAATGAGTTGAGTGGATTTCTGCCTGTTTCGCATTCTCGAGCGGTTCTCCAGCTTTGTGGACTGCATATTTTGCTTTGTGCCTTTTTGACACTGAGCCTTGGTTCCTGATTAACATGTTAATGTTCAGGTAAGTGCTAATCACAGACATGAATACTGCTATAAACTACCAGTGAGCATTGAATTGCCTACCAGATTTATTACTGTTTGTTCTACATTTCAAAGGAAGAATGCATTGTGTGGGAAAAACGTAGAATTGATTAGCTTTTTGAGAAATAAAATGCTGCTATGCATTGCCACAATTTTGGAAAGATTTGGGCTGATATTACAAATGTTTTCAAGAAACTAGATTTTGTTGAGGTATGCAATTGAAATACTGTGTCTATAAGTTGTGTAAGAGTTACAACACTGCTTTGCAATGGTGATTGATGTGGTGAGACTGGTGTTAAGGAGTGAAGTTTTTATAGACATTTGAAGACTTGGCTACATTTTAGCCTATATTTTGATTGCACTGCAATATCAAGAAGCAACAAATGCCTCTAATTTGAAAGATTGTCAAAAAAATAAGGTACAGAGTAATATAGGAATTTGTTTTGTATTGTTTGTTCGCTTTTTGCAAATAATTTGGCCCAGTTGAGTGATCTCTGTTACTATGGAGACAGCGGTCAAGGAAAGCACGCTCTGCTAGATGTTTTTTAACCCAGATGCTACTACAGGTTGCGCTTAAACCAGTCGAGACCTACTGTAACGTGGCACTACAGATGCTGGTAGAATATGTAACAAATATAAAGCTGCTGATTGATCGCTGCATTGTTGGGTGTGTTGCGTGAAAGTATTATAAACTCATGCAGTCAAGCTGCTATTAACGCTGAAACGCTATTTTTACAGATTCAGTTGGTAGTTGTGGTTACACGCGTGTTTTAATATCATGTAAAGTGTAATGAGTGTAAGTTAACGACGTTGTTTAAAATTAGAACTGCTTTTTGTTGCGTCCTCTATGTAATGAGTCAGTCCAAGTTAGTTTCATGCACGCTGCTCTGTGCTGCGGGCTGGTGCGGTGATTGACAGGCTTCTGGCCAATCGCAGAGTAGTTCAGCTGGCGTTCTGACCAATAGCGTTGCACGTCTGGAGAGGAACTGAATGGCAACGCCCTGCTCATTTTGTAGTACATGAACGTATGGGTGGAGACGGTAGTAGGCAGTTTTTGCACAGAGTGTCTCCGAACAGTTTCTACAGTTTGAAGATTGTTAAGGGTATGATATTTTTGATTTCACGGTCGCATTTGTCAGCTCATTTTGTATTAGCGGATTGCCTGTTTTAGATTCGCGGTACGCCGTTAAGCAATGCATAAATGTTTTTTAATCGCGTTATAATACATTTAAGGTGTGACTGTCGACATTTAGGCCAACATATACGATATTTACCTCATTTCTTTGTTTTAAAACGCATAGTTTTGTGAAATGGAGCATGAATGGTTCTACGATTATATTAACTTTTGTTTTGCTTTACTACGGACAAGTTCAGCAGAATGCGTCCTTCTGAACAATTCGTTCCCTTTCCTTCATCAAATATTTCACTTCCTCACGTTTGTACGCTTTAGTGATTGATAGATGTTTAGCTTCGAGACAAAAACTTTCTACAAGTGTGTATCTGTTGTGGTTTTCAGATGGCCGCTCATTGTGTGTCGAAGGTCGAGCTCTCCATCTCTTGCAATAATCTGCTGGATAAAGATGTTGGATCCAAATCTGATCCACTCTGTGTTCTGCTGCAGAGTGTCGGGGATGACAAATGGTCAGAGGTATGCATGTTAACCCTTAAAAAGCCGCTGTGGCCACATTGCAATCAAATAACATTTCTTTTTTACTGCGTATAACAGCAGCTTACACTCGCTGCAAGTTTTCAACGGCCAAAAAAAGTGCTGAATGTCACAGCTTGCTAAAGTTGCCAGTCGCTGATTATTGACACTAATACCAGCAGTAATTTCTGTGATTTATAATTTAGATAATTTATACGGTCACTGATTATTAAATTAATATTAAATTATTTAAAATGTAATTTACTTTTGTGGGTGTGTATATCCTTGTTTGCTTAATGTATGTGATCACTGCAGGTGGAACGCACAGAGAGAGTGAAGAATTGCCAGGACCCCGAGTTCTCAACAAAACTTCACATTGACTACCACTTTGAGAAGGTGCAGAAACTAAAGTTTGGCATCTATGATATTGACAACAAGTCTGTTGACCTCAAGGATGACGACTTCCTGGGAGGCTTTGAATGCACCCTTGGCCAGGTATGTATCATGAAGAGTGTTGCATTGAGATGCACATATTCTTATGTGATCTCTGTTCTGTGCTAGTTGCGACCATGCAGTGCTAATATTATTGGCACTGGACTTCATTAAGTAAGGGATAATGTACGTCCAGCTGATTATCGCAGAATTAAGCCCGACAGCACTAATGCTGTGTAAGACTGAAGGGCTTTATTTTGCGATAACAACCAGTTGGATGTACATTATTCAGTTTATTACACGGCTACTTGCCACAAAACTAAATAATTAGACACAAAATATTGATTTGAGTTAAAATATTTGAACGCAAAGCTTCCGTGAAGAAAGCAGTTGCTAACAAGTGGCAAGTTCAAACTAGACGGGCATTAAGAGATATGGTACAGTCATACTACTTATTATACAGCATTTCACCGCATTAATAATTACTTTACTTTTACTTAGTCATTTAGCAGACGCTTTTATCCAAAGCGACTTACAAATAAGAAAAAGTAATTAAAACTAAAAGCTAAAACTCTATAAATACTATATATATATATATATATAGATATACACATTTAATAAAATAAATTAAATAAAAATGACAAAGGCATACAACATTTCAAAGCTAAATATTTAAATGAAAACAAAAAATAAATAAAGCTAAAAACAATTCAAAATATTAAAAGAACAAAAGGTATGAGTATAATAATGATTCTAACATAACACTAAGCCAAACACCAAAAAACAACTACATACGTGTATGTACAGCCACACACATATACATGTACATATATATAAATACATTCAATATATATATATTATTTCATTTCCATTTTGTATGTTGAAGTACTGAAATAACTCAAATTAAATAAAACTAAAACTTAATAAAAAACCTATATAGACGTGATAAAAAACTAATAAAATGACAACATTACTACAACTGTAACTAAAACTAAAATAGATAACTAATACAAATCAAACTACATTATCAGTAATCCTAAAAAAAATAACACTGAGCCAAACACACATGCTAAAATAACAACAACTTACTGACACATAGTAAGAAATGGTTATAAAAAACTGAAACAGAAGTGAAACAAGTAGTAGGAAAGAGGAGAAATAAAAAGCGATACTTATTTACTTATGGCAATAAAAGATACTGATTTAAGATTAAGTTGTTTTCAAATCTTGCCAGTTTGTTATTTATCTTACAATCCATTACAGTGTACAAAACAATCATCGCAAAATGGCAGCAGCTGCGTTTGTATGAAACAAGAGAGCAAGTCTGCAATACCAAAATGATATAATTAAATAATTGTACGGAGAATATTGATTTGAGTTTTAATGTTTTATTTGCCAACCAAACGCAAAGCTTCCATGAAGAAAATTTTTTCCCAGCAAGCGAATAGCACGACTGCCGTTACCTGGATGAGCCTGTGTTATTAGTTTTTACCGGTTGTTATCGGGGAATAACATGCCTTAGAATGTGGTGACTGTCCAATCAGAATAGAGTATTCCACAGAGCCGTGTAACAACAATGTATAACACATGCATAATGGTGTTTTAGTGTTAACAATACACTTGAATTCACAGCGTTGTTTATGCACCAAACTTTACAACAGATTGTGTCAAGTAGGAAGATTACCAGACCCCTTCAGCTCAAGGCAGCAAAACCAGCTGGGAAAGGCACAATAACAGTATGTGTTCATAAACACTCTTACTGCTATTTCTAATATGGCAACACTGGTAAAAGAAAATGGAAATTTATCACATGAGAGTTTTACCACCTTCCCAATGAATGTTTTACAGACCACATAATTCAATTCATTTGCATTTGCGGTGTCTTTATTTGCAGGAGAATTTAAGAGCTTCACAAAAGAATGATTCATTTGCATATTGTACGGTTTTTAGTAAACCACAAAGCCCTCTGTTTGAGCAAAATAACATTTTCATTTGTGAATGTATGCAAAGTTTGTCAATATACCGTTCATTAGCTTTATATATCATTAGCTATTCATTAGCTTTATATATAAATTCATTAGCTTTTTTAATTAACATTTAGCAATGTTGTCTTTTTTTTTTCTTTTTCTTTTTTATATGAACAGATCACAGCTGATGAGGTGAAAGACAACAGGGCTGTTGTGATGGAAGTAGAGGCCAAAAACCTGGATAAAAAGGTAGATATAATCAGCCTCTATGTTCTTGCATCTTGTTGTAACCATTTATAATTTGTACCTTATCAATTACAGTTACTGCTGGCTTACCACAAAAATTATTGCCATATTCAGTGTAAAAGCAGTTATGTACTGTTGTGATCTATGGAAGATGCACGTTATATTCACTACTTCTTCTTTCAGGATATGTTTGGGAAGTCTGATCCATTCTTGGAGTTTTTCAAGCAAGAAGAAGATGGGAAGTGGCAGCTAGTTCACAGGACTGAGGTTTTTACCCACTTTCACTTACACAGAGAACCAGTTTTTTTTTTGTGCATGCAAAACAATTAATCAGTTACTGCATTTTTTTGCTGATGGTTGTTTTTGACTTTTTTTTCTGTTTTTAATAGGTCATCAAGAATAATTTGAATCCATCTTGGAAAAAGTTTACTGTTTCCTTGCATACATTCTGTAGTGGTGACCTGAATAAACCAATCAAGGTATCAAAGGGTTTTTATGCTCAATCAGATGATTTGTCATAGTATCTTAGTTTAACAATTTCACCATGCAAGAGAAACCTTTGGTTTTATTTTAGAAGACAGAGTCCAGCGCATTTATCTTCAGGATAATAGGAAGAAATTGGTGCTTTTGGCTCTCAGACATAATTGAGAATTTAAAAAAGTTGCTCATCTAAACTTATCAAATGTGAACACTTGTCTTTTCACAAAAAAGAACCTTTAATTTCTACCACATATATACCCTTCAAACATTTGGGGTCAGTAAAATTTGTTTTTGAAAGAAGCCTTTTATGCTCAATTGTGCGTTTATTTGAAAAAATATATAGTAAAAACAGAAATAGTCAAAAAAAGTATAATTTAAGATAACTGTTTTGTTTTAATGTATTTCAAAATAATGGAAATTGTGATGCATTCTTTTTAGGATTGTTTGTTGAATTGAAAGTTTAAAAATACATTTCTTTCAAATAGTAATTGTACCAAAGTAAAAGTCTTTACTGTTATCAATTTAATGCACCCTTGATTAATACAGGTATTCATTTCTTTAAAAAAACTTACTACCCTCAAACTTTGGAACAGTAGTGTACAAAACATAGGTGACAACTTTTGGGCGAAGCTATTCGATCAGATAAAAAGACACATAGTATCATTAAAATATAGCTGTGTACCTGTTTTAAGGGACCAAAGACACCATCAGCCAGCACTTTCAGTTGTCCTAGTCCTTAGACTAAAGCTTTGTCTAATTGCTAGGTAACTTGTTACGATAAGGATGAAGACACAAGCTCAGACATGATAGGAGAGTTCACCTGCACCGCCGCTAAACTAATGGAGGCTAAAGACAATGCGGTGAGCAGGACACATGTCTGTTAATCTTCCCTAAACATCTTTATTTTTCTTTCTTTCTGTCTGTCCGTGGCTTTTTGTTTTAGGTTCATTGTTTTGATTATGATAGCGATGGCTCACATGATCTCATTGGTGTGTTTCAAACTAATGTGTCAGATCTGCAGAAAGCAGCTCCTGGCTCCCCGGTGAGACTGCACCTTCACTGCTCCAGGCTTTCTTGTTGTCCTTGTGTTAACAGTAGAATATTTCCTTTTCCTCACATAAATTTCCATTCTGATCACTTCCATAATTTCTATGAGTTTTATTGTAGGGCATTAGTAAAAAGTTTTCATTTTTGTAGGTTGAGTTTGACTGCATTCATCCAGAGAAGCAAAAGAAGAAAAAGAGTTATAAGAACTCTGGGGTCATCAGAATTAAGTATTGCAAGGTTCGAACAATCTTCATGTGTTACGTATGAAAACATACTAAGCAGTATTATGTGTTGAAAGTTGCAGAATTGTTTAGAATAATTTTATGATAATGATGATAAATAATCTCTATACTGTCTTTCAGCTTGAGGCACAGTATTCATTTCTAGATTATGTGATGGGAGGTTGCCAAATTAACTTCACGGTAAGATCTGTCATGCCACAACATTTGCTTCTGATAGCAGGTGTTTTTTCTGGATTCATTTACATGCCGATGTAATGAATGGGTATAATGCAGAACATTACATTTAGGATGTCAATTTGAGGCTGTATGGTTTAAACTCTAAAACAAAGGTGAATATTGTTTGGTTTTAGGTGGGCATTGACTTCACTGGCTCTAATGGAGACCCCCGCTCCCCTGACTCTCTGCACTATCTCAGCCCTAATGGCGTGAACCAGTATCTGTCAGCCATCTGGTCCGTTGGCCAGGTAGTCCAAGACTACGACACGTAAGAGAGAGATTTTTGTCCGTAAAGTTCACCCTTTGAGCACTGTACTGAAATAATTGTTGT